TGACAAAAAGTCAAAATTGATTTTCAAGCCTTCAGGCTGTGGCTCGCTAAACTCCCAGTTTGCGGTTTTCCATGGTCGCCCTTTTGGCTCGTTCAGAAACCATTTACAGCTAATATTAAAAAAATTTCTAGCTTCCAAAGAAAAGACTCCTCGTCTTTTTCTTGTATCTTCAAAGACCCATCGGAGCTATGATTGGTTGCTTTGAGTCCGCGTAACGCCCAACATCATCTATGGCTAAAAGGCGACAAAAAATCGGTTCTCCCCATGTTTCGAAATAATAGAAGATGGACATAACAACCAGGATGTCCAGCCATGAGACTGAAGTACCAAGAACCCTTCAAAGCTGATGAGTGAGCTTGAGGACGACTATTTGGAAAAAATATCGTCTAACATAGCAACGAAATAGAAGCTCTGGGTGACTGAAAAAAGGTTTTTCTCGGATTTTCTTCTGCATAAAAAGTTATTGCCTAAATCCTACCCACGGAAAACAACTTGAAAATCATTTCAAATTTTTTGCTTTCATTCATATCCTGCAAAACAAAGTTTGGTGCCAGACTTACACATATCCAAAAGCGTTCGCAGCCGCTTGAGCAGCCAATCCGGAAAGGATGGCGATTATTCCATTGAGAAGAGCTGCATGGGAAAATACTGTTGCTAAGGCATTCTCGGAAAAACCTCGCTGAAACATTATCACTTTCTGAAAGCAAAAAAAAATACTATTACTTTCGAACCTTGTTGTTCTCGTAAACGAGCCAGCTTTCAAATGCAGAGAAGAGGATGCTGGTAGAGATACCTCCCAGAAATCGTCCTACCATCAAAACTTCCATAGTTCCAAAGTGTTTTGTGACACATGACAACCCGTACAGGATCCCATAGAGGAGGCAGTTATTGCGTCGACCACTGAAACTCAGTGCATTTCAAAATTTGCTCACTCTCGCAGCTGAACACTCAAAAATACGCACAATTTATCTGCAATTGATCCTATGAAGGTTCCGAAGAGTAGACTGGAGCCAAAGCCGGCAATGAAGAGTATCTCGATTTGATGCTTTGACATGCCATAGGATTCATAGAGTGCATAGACATGAGCCCCTTGTAGCCAGTCGCCAGCTAAAATCGTCATTTCAAAACTGTAAGGAAGTTGATTAACAATAGCTAATGTAGAGCACTTTTGTTGGTTATATTCTTGTGAAAATAATGCGATTAGCTCCACGGAGTAAAGCTTCTTTATTAGATGAGGAAAGAGCTACCAATTTTTACTATGCTAGCGAAGCAAAATCTAAAAATTATGTACACTATGTACTGTTTGATTCTCTATATCTATTTTCCCGTATTTTGCCTTACCTCAGGTACATTGTTGTAAAGAAGGCTTAAAGGATTATCAGTATGAGGCATTGATCATCTTACATTAATGTAGAATTACGATAGAAACTTCCAGCATATGGTACCGCTTTGAAAAAGCTTCCGCTTTAAATAAGAACCAAAAAATTTGAAAACATCTGTGACAAAATTTTAAATTATGCAAATCTCAATAATTAACTTTGTACAAGACTGTGGAACTTCCCTAAACGTGTAATCACATTTTTTAGGGAGCAACGGAAAGACAGCTGCTACCGTATACGACATAACTTTTTGAAGAGACATTGCGGTAAAATGCAAATTTCCTATTCAAAAACTTTAACTTCAATAGCGTAGTTGAAATTTTTTGAATAGTTTAGTTGTCTACTTGAAGATGGGCAAAAGACTTCTTAGAAGAAGAGATATCAATGAATAACAGTGTATACATACTTTTGGGATACCTCTAGTACAGTGTGTATGATGTATTAGCGGATTTTTTGCCATACTCGTATCTTTCGAAAATAGGTTTTCACAACATACGATAGCATACAGATATATGAACATGAAGATAAAATTTTGATTTCAGCCCTTTCCAAAAGTTGGGGAGTCGCATAATTTTATACGTCATTTTGTCCACCTACTACCTTCGGTGCAAAAAATTAAGATTAAGGGGTTTTTAAAAAGTCTCGATGAGCTACAAACAACTGTAAAACAGATATTCAAAACATGCGTGGCTAGAGACAAAGATAAAAGGCAAAAGATA